GAACCTCCGAGCGAAGGCTGCGGTAAGCCTCCTCATTCTCTGACGTGGGATGCTGTAGACGGTGGGAGCGGGCCTGTCCCTTTTGATCAGCCTACCGGAACACCTCCTCTGTCAGCCAGGGTCTCTGGGGAGGTCTGGACTGCATACCCAAAGGAGCTTCATGAGCCACAGTCATAAACCTTGGTCATTCCCCTCCGCATCAGGAGGGGGGACGATGCCAATCCCAGCCGCAAGCGATGATGAAGTTCTCGCTTGCAACTTTCATTAGCTAGCTGAGACCAGGCCACTGTGGATTTGAATTGGGTCCTGGGTGCACACCCACCACCGGAGTGGAAGAATGGCAGGCGCATCTGACAGATGGTCAGTGGGAAGTTCAGCTACCATGGTAGGTCCTGGTGTCACGGACATGGGCCCGCATCTGTCGCTCAGTCACTGTATTGTCCAGCAAATGTTCATGCTTGGACCTGGCATGCATCCATGATGTTGTGTGCATGCACCAATGCCAGAACAGCGTGTTGGCAATTACAATTTAGCAGCTTCCTGCCGTTGTTATTGAGCTGATCTGGCCCATGCCTACCAATCACTTCAGCCCAGGTGCCAGTATCATGACCAACTCGGGCATTGAAGTCACCCAACATGATGACTCTATCCCGAGGGACTGCTTTAGCTCATACCTGTGACAGGTCATAGAAGGCATCTGACTCATCAGCCTTGTCCGCATCCCTCCACTGATGTTCATCTTCGGTGGGGGCATAAGTAACCACGACCATCACCACCATTCATCGCCTCCGGTTGATGGGAAGGTGAGCTCGCAGAAGTCTGGGGCTTACAGCTTCCCACACCTCACCGCCACGCTCCCACGCCCCTTTCATTCTTTTGTTCAAAAGAAGAGCCACACCTGTTGTTTGGCAGTCTGCTGCCCCGAGTAGAGGACTGTCCACCCCTCATGGTGGCAGGAGCCAGAGCCGGACCACCGGAACCTCCTGAATGCCACAGAGATCCAGGCGGTACCGGTCCAGCTCCCGACAGAGGAGTGGCAGCCTCTCCTCTACACACACACACACGCCAGAACCAGTCTTATCGGACCTCCCGAATACCACAGAGATCCAGGCGGTACCGGTCCAGCTCCCGACAGAGGAGTGGCAGCCTCTCCTCCGCAGTGAGCGTTCGAACATTCCACGTGGCCACACGAAGTGGCTTTCTGCAGATTCTGGAGGAACCCGGAGGGTAGAGATTCAGTCTCCTGGCTCTGACAAACAGAGTTTGGCCAGGAGACGTCACAGACGCCCGTCCCCCAAGACACAGAGACACACACAGATACAAAGATCCCCCATATAGCCTTAACAGACTGTAGGTGCAAGTGCTGTTAACGAGCACCTATGAAGGCCGGAACGGTACACGAGGGGGTGGGTGGCCAGCACCACACCCGACCGCCTTTGTCTCCCCAGTGGCGATGTTTACACACCACACCAGGTACTCATTTGAGGCTGAGTCGACCTAGAGGAGGCCGGGACCGGTTCAGATAATCGTCACCGGTGTTGGCCGTGAGCGGGAATCGACCCGGTTCGCCGTGTTCATAGCGCAGCGTAGCGCTAACCACTACTACACTACCGCTACACACACACATATACACACATACACACATACACACACATATACATACACACACATACACACAGATACACACACATATACATACACACATATACATACATAGATACATATATACATACACACATACATACACACACATAAGAGATCCCCGGTATAGTCTCAACAGACTATAGGTGCAAGTGCTGTTAGCGAGCACCTATGAAGGCCGGAACGGTACACGAGGGGGTGGGTGGCCAGCTACACACACACACACAGAGACACCAACAACAACAACCGCCATTCGCCACTAAGTGGCGGTGACGTCACCACGACGCTTGTGCCAGGCTATGTGCACCCTGAGGCCACGTGAAGTGTCGAACGCCCGCTGGCAGGAGGTCACGGGGCAGACCCAGGTGCCACGGGTCGACTGACTGAGATGACTGGCTGATGCACCACCTGTGCCCCCTACTGTGCCAACCTGCTGTGCTTTAGCCACCCGGCGCTCCGCTCGCTGTTGTGAGCGTCGCTCCTCCGCCCTCCGTTGTTGTTGGAGGGCGACTGCCTCCAACTGCCCAGTAGCATCCTTCACGAGCCTCCTCCACAGAGGCCGATCTTGACACCGCTGGTACCAGTCATCGGCAAGTCCACTCAGCTCCACGTCCTCCTGTACCACACAACTCCATCTCTTCTCTAGCCCGTGCCGCGTCCGCTTAGCCCCTCAATCCGGCCAAACAAAAGCTGTTTCGGCATGCGGTGGCTGGGCATGCGGGCTACATGACCCAGCCATCGCAGCCTTGCCTGCCGGAGGAGCTCACCGATGGGACCCTGCCCAGATCTTTCAAGGATTTGTGAGCTCCTCACACAATCCAGTCTGGTTAAACCCAGGATGGATCGTAGGCAGGCCAGCCTAAATGTTTCTAACCGGCGAAGATGTTCCATTAGGGGGGTCCACGTTTCGCAAGCGTAGAGAAGGGAGGGAATGACCGTGGCCGAAAAGACCTGAAGCTTAGTGCGGAGCGACAGACCAGGTAGCTTCCACACAGCGTTACGCAACCGATGAAAAGATATTGCCGCTCGACTGATTCGGAGTGAGACCTCTGCTGTTAAACTGGAGCCAGTCATAAGCACACTGCTCAGGTATGGGAAACTCTCCACTCTCTCCACAATTGCCCCATCACCGATGGGAGTTGTGGGGGTGGAGTGTCCGATGGTACAAAATACCCAGGCAGGTGCTTAGTTTTGGCGGGGCTGATGGTAAGGCCCCACACACATACACACACACACATATACATACACACATATACACACATACATACATACACACACGTGTACACACATACATACACACATATACATACACACACATATACATACACACATACATACACACACGTGTACACACACATATATACACACACATATACATACACACATACATACACACACGTGTACACACACACATACACACACGTGTACACACACACGTGTACACACACGTGTACACACACACACGTGTACACACACACAGACACACACAGTCACGAGTGTGCCACTCGTATTGGTATAACTTTATTGGTCATCAACATCAAACGTGGAAGACAACCACCACCACCGCCACTACTACAACCACCACCACCGCTACTACTACCACCAATCACAGGCAGATACGAGGGGAGTGGTGGGGGAGGGGGGAGGCAATTACAGTCAGTAGGGGTGTGAGGGGAAGTGCGGGGCACACCAAACACATAACCGGCACGCTAACCAGATAACCCACACGTCAACCAGATAACCGGCACGCTAACCAGATAACCGGCACGCCAACCAGATAACCGGCACGCTAACCAGATAACCCACACGTCAACCAGATAACCGGCACGCTAACCAGATAACCGGCACGCCGACCAGATAACCGGCACGCTAACCAGATAACCGGCACGCTAACCAGATAACCGGCACGCTAACCAGATAACCGGCACGCGACCAGATAACCCACACGCCAACCAGATAACCGGCACGCTAACCAGATAACCGGCACGCTAACCAGATAACCGGCACGCCGACCAGATAACCGGCACGCTAACCAGATAACCCGCACGCCAACCAGATAACCGGCACGCTAACCAGATAACCGGCACGCCAACCAGAGAACCGGCACGCCGACCAGATAACCGGCACGCCAACCGGATAACCGGCACGCCAACCGGATAACCAGCACGCCAACCAGATAGCCAGCATGCTAAACAAATAACCGGCACGCTAACCAGATAACCCGCACGCCGACCGGATAACCGGCACGCTAACCTGATAGCCGGCACGCAAACCTGATAGCCAGCATGCTAAACAAATAACCGGCACGCAAACCGAAAAGCTGACGCACTAACCAGAACAATAACCAGATAGCCGGCATCTTCACCAGGTAGCCGGCGCACTAACCAGATAGCCAGCATACTAACCAAACAACTGGCACGCTAACCAGATAGCCAGCATACTAACCAAACGACTGGCACGCTAACCAGATAGCCAGCATACTAACCAAACAACTGGCACGCTAACCAGATAGCCGACACATTAACCGGATAACTGGCATGTTAACCAGATAACCGGCACGCGAACCAGATAGCCAGCACACAAACAAGATAGACGGAATGTTAACCAAATAGCCGGCATGCAAACCGGATAGCCAACGCGCCAACATACAAACCAGATAAACAGCACGCTAACCAGCTAGTGGACTAACCAGCTAGTGGACTAACCAGCTAGTGGACTAACCAGCTGGTGGACTAACCAGCTGGTGGGCTAACCAGCTAGTGGGCTAACCAGCTAGTGGGCTAACAAGATAGTGGACTAGCCAGATAGTGGACTAGCCAGATAGTGGTCTAACCAGCTAGTGGACTAACCAGCTAGTGGGCTAGCCAGCTAGTGGGCTAACCAGCTAGTAGGCTAACCAGCTATGGGGCTAACCAGCTAGTGGACTAACCAGCTAGTGGGCTAGCCAGCTAGTGGGCTAACCAGCTAGTAGGCTAACCAGCTAGGGGGCTAACCAGCTAGTGGGCTAACAAGATAGTGGACTAGCCAGCTAGTGGGCTAACCAGCTAGTGGACTAACCAGCTAGTGGACTAACCAGCTAGTGGACTAACCAGCTGGTGGACTAACCAGCTAGTGGGCTAACCAGCTAGTGGACTAACCAGCTAGTGGGCTAACCAGCTAGTGGGCTAACCAGCTAACCAGCTAGTGGGCTAACCAGCTAGTGGGCTAACCAGCTAGTGGACTAACCAGCTAGTGGACTAACCAGCTAGTGGGCTAACCAGCTAGTGGGCTAACCAGCTAGTGGACTAACCAGCTAGTGGGCTAGCCAGCTAGTGGACTAACCAGCTAGTGGGCTAACCAGCTAGTGGGCTAACCAGCTAGGGACTAACCAGCTAGTGGGCTAACCAGCTAGTGGGCTAACCAGCTAACCAGCTAGTGGACTAACCAGCTAGTGGGCTAACCAGCTAGTGGGCTAACCAGATGGTGGACTAACCAGCTGGTGGACTAACCAGCTAGTGGACTAACCAGCTAGTGGGCTAGCCAGCTAGTGGACTAACCAGCTAGTGGACTCACCAGCTAGTGGGCTAACCAGCTAGTGGGCTAACCAGATAGTGGGCTAACCAGCTGGTGGGCTAGCCAGCTAGTGGACTAACCAGCTAGTGGGCTAACCAGCTAGTGAGCTAGCCAGCTAGTGGGCTAACCAGCTAGTGGACTAACCAGCTAGTGGTCTAACCAGCTAGTGGTCTAACCAGCTAGTGGACTAACCAGCTAGTGGACTAACCAGCTAGTGGGCTAGCCAGCTAGTGGACTAACCAGCTAGTGGACTAACCAGCTACTGGGTTAGCCAGCTAGTGGGCTAACCAGCTAGTGGGCTAACCAGCTAGTGGGCTATGGGGCTAGCGTGCTATAGGGCTATGTGACTAGCGTGCTATAGGGCTATGTGACTAGCGTGCTATAGGGCTATAGGACCGGCGTGCTATAGGGCTATAGGACCGGCGTGCTATAGGACCGGCGTGCCGTAGGTACCGGTGTGGCCGCCGCTAGCGCACGAGGGGGCTCTGCTTGAGGGAGATGATGATACTGCGCATCCGGGAGACGTCTTTGCTCTGCTTGGACGTCTTGGGGTTGAAGTCGCAGAGGCGAGCGACGCGCTCCCACTCTGAGCCAGGGCCCTCCTCCTCCTCTCGCTCGCGAACGCACGCCTCCTCCGCAGCCCTGCACACACACCGGCACCGACACGCACACACACACACAGGTACACACACACACGGGTACACACACACACACGCACACACACACACACACACGTACACACACGCACACACACGTACACACACGCACACACACGTACACACACACACAGGTATACACACACACACGTACACACACGTACACACACACACACAGGTACACACACACACGGGTACACACACACACACGCACACACAGGTATACACACACACACACGTACACACACACACGGGTACACACACACACAGGTATATACACACACACACACACGCTCACACACACAGGTATACACACACACACACAGGTACACACACACGTACACACACACAGGTACACACACACACACGCACACACACAGGTACACACACACCACCACACACACAGGTACACACACACGCACAGGTATACACACACACACACGCACACACACACGCACGTACATACACACGGGTATACACACACACACGCACGCACAGGTATACACACCACACACGCACACACACACGGGTACACACACACGCACGCACACACGCGCGCACACACACACAGGTACACAACACACACAGACACACACACGGGTACACACACACGCGCCGCACACACACACACACACACAGGTACACACACACGGGTACACACACACGCACACACACAGGTACACACACACACGGGTACACACACACACGGGTACACACACACGGGTACACACACACGGGTACACACACACACACACGCACCGCTTACACACAGCACAGGGTGGGAAGGGGGGGCGGGGGTCATAGCGTTCACAGGGGTTACAAAGGGGTCACAGGGGGTCGCACAGGGGTCACAGGTCACGGGGGGTGGGGGGGTTGGAATGCAGTGTGGGGGAGGTCAGGGGAGGTCACGGGGTCATGCACTGCCGGGCCAGGCCTGCCCAGGGACTAGGCCAGATACACCGCTACACAGAGGAGGAGAATCCGAAACCCCTCTCTAGGGGGATCTCTAGGGGGATCTAGGGGTATCTAGGGGTATATCTAGGGGTATCTCTAGGGGTATCTCTAGGGGTGTCTAGGAGGTCTCTAGATGTGTCTAGAGGGGTCTTCCAGGGGCCTAAAAATCTCTAGGGGTCTCTAGGGTCTCTAGGGATCTCTAGGCGGGTTTAGGAATCTCTCGGGGGGGTCTAGGGGGTGTCTAGGGGGTCTAGGGATCTCTAGGGGGGTCCAGGGGGATCTCCACATCTCTAGGACGTTTCTACGGGGGATCTATGGGGGTCTGGGGGGGGGGGGGAATTCATATTCTTGGTTCTTTGGGTAAAGTCACCACAACGTAGATAGGGAAACAATAAATAATACAAATAAAACAATAAAATTATTGTAAAACAAATTATTATTCTTGGTTCTTTGGGTAAAGTCACCACGTAGAAGGGAAACAATAAAATAATAAAAATATAAAACAATAAAATTATTGTAAAACAATAAAATTATTATTCTTGGTTCTTTCGGTAAAGTCACCACCACGTAGATAGGGAAACAATAAAATAATAAAAATATAAAACAATAAAAAATCATTGTAAAATAATACAATTATTATTCTTGGTTCTTTGGGTAAAGTCACCACCATCAGTTATTGTTTTGTATTTTTATTATTTATTGTTTCCCTATCTACGTGGTGGTGACTTTACCGAAAGAACCAAGAATAATAATTTTATTGTTTCACAATAATTTAACCGTTTTATATTTTTATATTTTATTGTTTCCCTTCTACGTGGTGGTGACTTTACCCAAAGAACCAAAAATAACAATTCCATTGTTTTACAATAATATAATTGTATTGTTTCCCTGCCTACGCGGCGGTGACTTTACCACAAAGAACCAAGAACGTGAATCCCCTGCAGCCGCGGAAAGCTTCAAATCGAAATCTCTCCGTGCGTTTGCGCGTTTACACCGCAGGAGCAATCAGAGGAGCCGCGCATCTCCGTCGCTACGGATTAGGGTGTAGCAGCGGGGGAGGAGGGGGACAGCCACGAGGCACGGGGGGGGTAGGGTCGGAGCGTCACAACGGCAAACCGAACGACACACAAAGACGATGCAAAGTATAGGGGAGTGGGGGGAGGGTAAGCGGATCACTTACAAACTAAAAATTGAAACAAAGTTAACTAGAAGCTAGTTGTGATTATTATTTTTTTTTAACACCAGGCCAAGGCCACTGAGCCACGCGGTAGCTTCTCTGTCCACGGTCAAGCGACTGGCCTGGCCATCACACGCAGTAGAATTGCAGCTCGCCTGGATTGCGTGCAGCAGCAGCAGAATCATCTAAAAAGCGTGTTTCGCCGGGGGTCTCCAGACATATCTAGGGCTCGATGCATCTTTACGGGATTCCGGGGATCTCTAAAGGTCTCCAGAAGACTCTAGGGATCTCTACGGGGTTTCTAGGGATCTCTATGGGATTCTATAAGGGTCTCTAGGAATCTCAACAGCTCTACAGGTCTCTAGGAATCTCTACAGGTCTCGAGGGATATCTAAAGGTCTCCAGAAGACTCTAGGGATCTCTAGGGTTTCTAGGGATCTCTATGGGATCTGGGATTCTCTAAGGGTCTCTAGGAATCTCAACAGCTCTAGGTATCTCTAGGAGTCTCTACAGGTCTCTAGGAATCTCTACGGGTCTCTAGGGATCTCTAAGGGTCTCTAGGAGTCTCTATGGTCTATAGGAGACTATGGGTCTCTAGGAGTCTCTAAGGGTCTCTAGGAGTCTCTATGGGTCTCTAGGAATCTCTATGGTCTATAGGAGACTCTAAGGGTCTCTAGGAATCTCTAAGGGTCTCTAGGAGTCTCTAAGGGTCTCTAGGAGTCTCTATGATCTATAGGAGACTCTAAGGGACTCTAGGAATCTCTAAGGGTCTCTAGGAATCTCTATGGTCTATAGGAGACTCTATGGGTCTCTAGGAATCTCTAAGGGTCTCTAGGAGTCTCTAAGGGTCTCTAGGAATCTCTATGGTCTATAGGAGACTCTATGGGTCTCTAGGAATCTCTAAGGGTCTCTAGGAATCCCTATGGTCTATAGGAGACTCTATGGGTCTATAGGAGACTCTATAGGTCTATAAGAGAGTCTATGGGTCTCTAGGAATCTCTATGGTCTATATGAGACTCTATGGGTCTATAGGAGTCTCTATGGGTCTATAAGAGACTCTATGGGTCTCTAGAAATCTCTAAGGGTCTCTAGGAATCTCTAAGGGTCTCTAGGAATCTCTAAGGGTCTCTAGGAGTCTCTAAGGGTCTCTAGGAGTCCCTAAGGGTCTATAGGAATCTCTAAGGGTCTCTAGGAATCTCTAAGGGTCTCTAGGAGTCTCTAAGGGTCTCTAGGAGTCTCTAAGGGTCTATAGGAGACTCTAAGTGTCTATAGGAGACTCTAAGGGTCTCTAGGAGTCTCTAAGGGTCTCTAGGAATCTCTAAGGGTCTATAGGAGACTCTAAGGGTCTATAGGAGACTCTAAGGGTCTCTAGGAGTCTCTAAGGGTCTCTAGGAATCTCTATGGGTCTCTAGGGGGGGTCTCTAGGGGGGTCTCTAAGGGGGGGGGTCTCTAGGGGGGGCCTCTAGGGGGGTCTCTAGGGGGGGTCTGGTCTACACTAGGCACGTCTAGTGGGTGGTGTACGAGCGTGATGGGGGTGGTGGTGGTGGGGGTGGTGGTAGCGGTGGTAGTGGTGGTAGCGGTGGTGGTGGCGGTGGTGGTAGTGGTGGTTGTGGTGATGGTGGTGATGGTGGTGGTGGTATGGTGGGGGTGTACGAGTGTGGTGGTGGTAGTGGTGGTGGTTGTGGTGGTTATGGTGGTGGTTGTGGTGGTAGTGGTGGTGGTTGTGGTGTACGAGTGTGGTGGTGGTTGTGGTGGTGGTTGTGGTGTACGAGTGTGGTGGTGGTTGTGGTGGTGGTAGTAGTGGTGGTGGTTGTGGTGGTGGTAGTGGTGGTGGTAGTGGTGGTGGTAGTGGTGGTGGTTGTGGTGGTGGTAGCGGTAGTGGTGGTTGTGGTGGTAGCGGTAGTGGTGGCAGTGGTGGTGGTTGTGGTGGTGATGGTGGTGGTAGTGGTGGGGGTGTACGAGTGTGGTGGTGGTAGTGGTGGTGGTTGTGGTGGTTGTGGTGGTGGTAGTGGTGGTGGTTGTGGTGGTGGTAGTGGTGGTTGTGGTGGTGTAGGACTTGAGCACCAACAGCGACACGAGACCACGACCACAGGCACAGGGGGTGAGTGAGGGGGGCAGCACTTAACTGTTCTACCTCGTAACAGGGCAGCTTTAGGCTAGTGCTGGGGGCGGTGGACACAGAGCACGGCACACACCATGGGTTACACAGCGGCGGCGGTGGTGGTGCCGGCAGCAGCAGCACTGCTACCACTACCACCACTACCACCACGGTCATCGCCACCACCACTACTACTACCACCACCATCACCACCACTACCACTACCACCACCATCACCACCACCACCATCACCACCACTACCACTACCACCACTACAACCACCACCATCACCACCACCATCACCACCACGCTCACCACCACCTTCTACTCCTCCACCACCTACACCACCACCATCATCACCATCACCACCACCACCACTACTACCACCACCACCACCACTACTACCACCACTACTACCACCACCACTACAACCACCACCACCATCACCACCACAACCACCACGGTCATCGCCACCACCACTACCACCCTACATACCATCACACACCACCACCACGGTCATCACCACCACCGCTACCATGATCATCACCACCACTATCACTACCACCACCACTACCACCACTACCACCATCACCACCATCACCATCACCACTACCACTACCACCACGGTCATCGCCACCACTATCACGGTCATCACCACCACGGCTACCACTACCACGGTCATCGCCACCACCACTACCACCACCACAACCACCACCACAACCACACCACACAACCACCCACAACCACTACCACCATC